TGTTAACAATATTTGTTTCCATCTTCCATGCAAAGAATGAATTCCCTTGGCGTCAAAAATTGGCTTGTCGGCTTCTTTGATTTTGTTAACTAATCGAATCCGGCAATGATTTAGTGATGCAAAGAAGTCGGCTAACCATTTTTCGACCTCTTGAACATCTTTGAACCTGTTTCCAGCCAAATGGTTTCGCATTGAGCAAAATAAATGGTAATCCGAGGGAGAAATATCCGGAGAATATGGCGGATGCGAGAGAGGTTCCCAGTCCATCTCGGTTCGTCTCGATCTCGGTTCAGACCGCCATAGTGACACGAGTAGCTTTCCTGGCATTGCTGAAAAGATGAGGAACCAATTTCCCTTCTCGGCTTGTTTTCCCCAATTGATGTAAATGCTCGAAAATTGTTTGAGGGCGTTTCTTAATTTCGTAAATATTTCCGCAAGTTCATGTGTAGTTTGTCGAGGATCAATTTCGATTGTCTGCTTCAGTACTGCATTATCAATCGCAGGAGGCCGTTGTTGGTGGCTGTGATCTTCCAAAGATCTCCTTCTCGAAATCGTTGAAACCATCAGCGACACTGGCTTTCCGAAATAGCATCTTCGCCAAATACTTTGCAGAGGTCTTGATGAGATTCAGTAGTGTTTTTGCGCAATTTGAAGTCATACCAAAGACTGGCACGAAGGCGAAACTTCGTCTCGGTCATCTAAACACGGAAATTAAATCAAAAATGAATTAGTTTAATGTCAAAAACACGAAAAGTTGTAATAAATAAGAAATCTTGAACAGCATATAGAGAATGGGGTTTGATAAAATTGTATAGCCCTAAGGTATGCTGTTCAAGAGCAGGCGCGCATTCATAACTGGACAACCTAATATTTCTGATGATTGTGATCTACCTCTGATCATTCGATGATAGATCATTCTAATGATAGATCATTCGATGATAGATCATTCTAATGATTATGATCTACTTCTGATGCATCCAATGCGTCCAATCCATCGTTTCTTCTACTTTTTACAAGACTTCCCCAGACTTTTCTCTCCTCATCATCTCAAAGATCAGATTTTTCACAAATATTTTTGCTTTACCTTTGACAACTTTATTTTCTCACCTCTTTTCATGAAAAAATCTTCTCAATAAATAAAGAAAAGTGTCATTTTCTCTATTTTTCTCACTTTTCAAGTAAACAAACAGCTTCTCATTTCTTAAATTTCGTAAATATTTACTGTCTAATTTAAATTTGAGGTAAATTTAGATCGTAGTAAACTTCGAAATATTAAAAAAAAGAAAATAATGCTTTAAATTTGTTTAGCAATTGTTTTTAAAGAAAACATTTGATCTTTTGCAGAGAAAAATTCAGTTTTTGTGTTTGTTTATCAAAAAAATTGAGAGTTTTAATGAAATTTTGATTTTGATCTATTGGGCACCGGTTTCTAGAGGTTTCTAGAGGTCGTTCTAGAGGTTCTAGAGGTCCTGTGATCACTGTGAGGTCGTTCGCGTAGGCTAGCACATCCAAATCTCGACCATCCATCTTGTATCCGGTGGTTCACTTGGGAGACGGCTCGGAGAAGTGGCTCAAGTGTTAAATTGAAAATGATTGATGAAAGGGGACAGCCTTGCTTTGCTCCTGCCTGAATTGGGATGTCGTTGGTGGGACCAGTGACGCTTCGGATGGTGGTGGAGCAGTTGGCGATGGCATCGATGGCATCGATGGCAGTGTTGTTGAGTCCAGCGTATTCTAGGGCACTTAAAATGGATTGATTGGGAACACTGTCAAAAGCGTTTGTTAAATCTAGTCATGCCATAGAAACTTGTTTCCAGTTTCGTCGAGCGTCCACGATGGAGAACCAAGTTGTGCTCGGCACATCCATCCGCTGCCACGAATCTTTAAGTCTGTTTCGAGTTGGCTTTGATTTTCTTTTGACTGGATTATTCAATCAAGCTCTATTTAGTATCATTTGAAAGCCTGAAACGTTCACTATTCAATGATGTCAATAGTTAAGCATAATATTGTCTCTAGACAAAGTTATAGCCATTTAAAGTGTGATCAGTTGTTTAAAATGTTTAAACTAAGGAATGTTGTTAACTTATCATGGTTTTGACTCAGAAAATAGCCTATTTGATGCAGATTTTCACGCTGATTCCGAATCTGTAATCAGTTTTTGTCAAACGCTTCTCTATCGCGAGATTTATAGCATACAAGACTTTGGGGTCTTTAGAGGACGATGCTCTGTCTTCAGTCAACGGCCTCGATGGTGTAGTGGTTAGTGCACGCGTCTGCTGGGCGTATGCCTTTGGATCCCGAGGGTTCAAGTCCTCTGTATATAAGGCAACCTTTCTTTTACTCTTTAAAAACGTCAATTTTTTTTTTCATATCAACACCGCAAAATTCTCTTCTTGACTTGTTTTTGTTCACAAAAATTTGCACTTTCTCTTTCCTTTAAACCAAAAAAAAAAGCAGACAGAGAAAACAATAAACAAAAAGAAAAACGTGAGAAATCGAAAAAGAGAAAAAGAAAAGAGTCGGCAAACAAATCGGCTTTATTGAAGTGCTTTTGATCTTTAAAACATTAGAATGCATTCCAGAACTCTTTTACTATACTTGTCTAATAAAGTTTGCATTCTGGAACGCACACTATATAATGGAGAAGTTTTAAGTGTACTTTGTTTCAATGGAAACACACCCTTTCTAGTGCTGAAGGAGTTCTCTAAGGAAACACTGATACTATGATTTCTTTTACTATATTTGTCTAACAAAGTTTGCATTCTGGAACGCACAGTATCTAATGGAGAAGTTTCAGGCGTACTTTGTGCTAAATGGAAACAAACCCTTTCTAGTGCACGAAAGAGTCCTCTAAGAAAACAGGGCTATAATGGCTGACTTTCCTATACTTATCTAATAAAGTTTGCATTCTGGAACGCACACTATATAATGGATAAGTTTTGGGAGCACTTTGCTCTCTGGAAAACACACCCTTTCTAGTGTACGAAAGAGTTCTCTAAGAAAACAGGGCTATAATGGCTGCTTTTCCTATACTTATCTAACAAAGTTTGCATTCTGGAACGCACACTATTTAATGGAGAAGTTTCAAGTGTACTTTGTTCCAATGGAAAAACACCCTTTCTAGTGCCGAAGGAGTTCTCTAAGGAAACACTGATACTATGATTTCTTTTACTATATTTGTCTAACAAAGTTTGCATTCTGGAACGCACAGTATCTAATGGAGAAGTTTCAGGCGTACTTTGTGCTAAATGGAAACAAACCCTTTCTAGTGCACGAAGGAGTCCTCTAAGAAAACGCCGCTACCATAACTACTTTTACTATACTTATCTAACAAAGTTTTCATCCTGGAACGCACACTATCTAATGGATAAGTTTCAGACGTACTTTGTGCAAACACACCCTTTCTAGTCCACTAGCTTCATTTTCCTTACAGCAATCGGTTTTCAGGCTGAAATTGAGGAATTACGTGTGCCATAAAGGGTTTGTTTACAAGATTGAAAGTACAGAAAGAGTCTGTTTGTCGAATTCTCGTTTGTTTTCCCATTTTTCCTATCTCATTTCTTTTTCGCAATAGTGCAATTGTTGGGCGGTGCTTGGTCGTTTTGGTGACCGATTCTCGATTTCTCATTCAATCAAAATGCCCTTTACAGTCAAATTTTCCTTGCAAAATTCATTTTGAGCATTTTTGAATCATCAAATTGTTTAAATTTTGCAAACTTTAAAGCGATTTTCTCTTGTAAAAGCTTTAAGTCTCTTTACTTGAGGCCGTTTTTCGCTAGACGTTTTGCTTACGGCCTAGTGCATTGCCAAAGCTCTCGACTACGAGTCTGAACAACCCTGGTTCGATTCCCCGCTTGGTTTTTTTGGTTTTTTTGAATCTGAAATCTTTGGACTTGAGTTTAACCAGCCACTGGATTTTGATTTACTTTGAATCTAGCTATGAGGCCAAGAACGATCGTTTAGAATGGCTAAACGAATGGATAGAATGGTTAACTCTAAACGAACAATGCTTTAGAATGGTTTTCAGAGATTTTGTAAGTAAAAAGAAGAAAATTTGGGTTTATTTATTTTATTTAGACTGAAAATTAATCTAGGAACATTTCTGATTAATTTCGGATTAATTGAACGTTAGAATTTTAGAGTTAAAGCTAGAGAAGGGGACTTAGATTGGGGTTTATGGATTCAGGGGACTTTTAAAAGCTACTTGGAATAGAGATTGTGGTCTAGATTTTCGAAATGAGTAAAGCGCTACTTGGAATAGAGATTCTAGTCTAAGAATAGTCAAATTTACATTCTTAAACTCTATTTGATATCATTTGAAAGTCTGAAACGTTCTCTATTCAATGATATCAATAGTTAAACATAATATTGTCTCTAGACAAAGTTATAGCCGTTTAAAGTGTGATCAGTTGTTTAAAATGAGCGCTAACTAAGGAATGTTGTTAACTTATTGTGGTTTGGCCTCAGAAAATAGCCTATTTGATGTAGTTTTTCACGCTGATTCCGAATCTGCAATCAGTTTTTGTCAAACGCTTCTCTATCGCGAGATTTATAGCATACAAGTTTTTAGAGTTAAAGCTAGAAAAGGGGACTTAGATTGGGATTTATGGATTCAGGGGACTTTTAAAAGCTACTTGGAATAGAGATTGTGGTCAAGATTTTCGAAATGAGTAAAGCGCTACTTGGAATAGAGATTCTAGTCTAAGAATAGTCAAATTTGCAGTCCAATTTGCAGTTCTAGAATAGTCCAATTTACATTCTTATTCCTGAGCCTGAGCCTGAGCTTCTTCCTCGAAATCGATCCTTTAAACTCTTTCTCATTCCATCTTTCTTTTTGTAATTAATTGAAAATAAAAATTCTAGAGATCGATCAAAATTTGAGACGATTTCCAGACGAAAAGACAATCGTTTTTTGCCTATTTTTTCGATTTTTGCCCAGAAATTCTTTTTTCTATTTAAAGCTTAAGGAAATATTTCAGCTTTACAATTCTCTACCGAAAATGGTCACCTTGAACACCTCGTATCTCTCCCAAAACCGTGGAATCATCAAAATTCTTCAAATCATTGCCGGCTTTGCTATCAGCATTCTTTTCTGTGGTGGATGGTAAGCTTTTTAATTTCAAATTAGGTTTTCTTTGGATTCCAGGAGCCCAGGTGGCCAGGATACCAGGATCCCAGGATTCCAGGAGCCCAGAAGCCCAGGATTCTAGGATCCCAGGATTCTAGGATTCTAGGATTCCAGGATTCTAGGATCCCAGGATTCTAGGATTCCAGGAACCAAGGATTTCAGGATCTCAGGAGCCCAGGAGCCCAGGATTCTAGGAGCCCAGAATTCCAGGAGCCCAGGAGCCCAGGATTCAAGGATCCCAGGATCCCAGGATTCCAAGAGCCCAGAAGCCCAGGATTCCAGGAGCCCAGGATCCCAGGATCCCAGGATTCCAAGAGCCCAGAAGCCCAGGATTCCAGGAGCCCAGGAGCCCAGGACTTCAGGATTCTAGGAGCCCAGGATTCCAGGATTTCAGGAGTCCAGGAGCCCAGGCGCCCAGGACTCCAGGATTCTAGGAGCCCAGGATTCCACGAGCCCAGGAGCCCAGGACTCCAGGATTGTAGGAGCCCAGGATCTCAGGAGCCCAGGATACCAGGATTCCAGGAGCCCAGAAGCCCAGGATTCCAGGAAAGCTTCTAGAGGACGGGAAAGCCAAGCCAGCTTTCTCATCTGGCTTCCAGCAGCTAGATTTCTCATCGGCCAAACTTTCCCTGGTCATACTTAAACTCTAAACAATTAAAAAGACTGAGATTTCTGTTCTAGTCAAGGATTGGCTAGCCTTGACTCAAAAAACTGGCCTTGAAAGCTAACGATTAAAGTCTTGAATAAGCTTGAGAACTTTGCTTATAACTGTTTTTGAAGGTCTCAAAGAAAAGCAAATTCCAGGACAAAAAGCGGTTGCTTTGGTTGGGGTCAAATCGGCTATGCGACAACGTTAAACTCAATCGTGACAATCATCAACATTGTCCTCTTTTTCCTCAACTTTTTAGATGCAAAGTTTTGGAGATTGGTGAGTTTAAGGGAAAGATTTAATCAAACTGGATATCAGCATAGCTTTTTGAGAGATCTCTTGACGAATTTGAGTGAGTTTTTTTCCATTTCTAGGAGCGAGTCTACTCGATTATTTGCTGTATTCTCTTCCTGATCGCTGCCGCTTTAATGGTTTGGTTCTTGATCGTTGAACAGCATGACTACAGAGCGCCATCGGTTATTGGAACGGTTTGTTTTCGGAAAATTTTTAAAAGATTCAAAAATAAAGCCAGCTCGGTTCAGTTACCCAATTTTCCGTCTAAAGAATTTATTAAATATTCCATTTGGGTTTTTCCCTAATTTTTTGTTCATCTAGGTAAACGATGCTATCCAATTAAGAAGATTTGAGTGTACTTTGTGCTCAAAATTCTATAAGCACACTTTTTCTGGTGCATAAAGGAGTTCTCAAAGAAAGCTTTGTTAATACGATTGCTTTTACTATACTTAGCCAATAAAGTTTGCATTCTGGAACGCACACTATCTAATGGATAAGTTTGGGGCATTTTGTTCACGTGTAAACAAAACTCCTCTGGTGCACGAAGGAGTTCGCTAAGAAAGCGCCGCTAGAATGGCTACTTTGCTATACTTATCTAATAGAGATTGCATTCTGGAACGCACACTATATAATGGAGAAGTTTTGGGAGCACTTTGCTCTCTGGAAAATACACTCTTTCTAGTGCACGAAGGAGTTCTATAAGAAATCATCGCTACCATAACTACTTTTACTGTACTTATTTAACAAAGTTTGTTATCTGGAACGCACACTATATAATGGTGAAGTTTCAGACGTACTTTGTGCTAATGGAAACTTATCCTTTCTAGTGTACGAAGGAGTTCGCTAAGAAAGCGCCGTTAGAATGGCTAGTATTACTATACTTATCTAATAAAGTTTGCATTCTGGAACGCACACTACATAATGGATAAGTTTTGGGAGCACTTTGCTCTCTGGAAAACACACCCTTTCTAGTGCACAAAGGAGTTCTATAAGAAAACATCGCTACTATAACTACTTTTACTGTACTTATCTAACAAAGTTTGTATTCTGGAACGCACACTATCTACTGAATAAGTTTCAAGCGTACTTTGTGCTCAATAGAAACTCATCTTTACTAGAGCACTGAATTCTCTATTTTCTTAAAGCAATTTGGGTGTCTTGCAATGCATTGATTCGATAGTGTGACTTCCAGAATGGAGATCTTTATCCAGAAAAGGGCCATTTTCCTTCCCAAAAACGATAATTTCAGATCCTTCTCTTCTTCCAATTCATCCTCTACCTCTGGGACGTGAAAATTCTCCAAGGGGAGGCGTGGAACTAAAGAAAAAAAACCCAAAGATTCCTAATATTTGCTGAATTTTTTGTCGAAATTTCCATTTCCTGAGCTTTTCTTTTGTTTGTTTTTGTGTTTAAAATTTGAAATCTGATCGTAAATTCTTTAAAGAATTAATTCTTTAAAAAAAGGCTTGTACATGTTAAATTTTCTCGATTTTTTTTAATGAAATTTGTCTATTTTTTTTGATTTTTCTTCCCAAATACTTCAATTTTTTTTGAAATTAGATGATAATAAAAGAATTTCTTCATCGTTTTAAAAAGAAATTCGATAAATTCCATTGTAAATGCTGAAATTTGAGTGAAAAATTGAGTACACTTGGTGAAAAATGATGGAAATTTTGAGTTTTTTGTTTGTGTAAACACCAAAAAAAGGCCGATTTTTGATTTCTAGTTTGATTTTGATGTTTAGACTTTGATCTGAGCGAGTCTAGCTTCTCCGACAGGCTCAAGAAACTAAAGAGCTTAATTTAGCAGGGTAAACCAAGCTCTAGGGCTCCAATCTAAAGCCAGCTTACCCGCAACAGGTCGAAGCATAAAGCTCTATCCTGACTGCAATGGCAACTGTTGTCCTTGTCTCTGTAGCTCATTGGAAGCGGCTCGTTGGAAGCGTTGGAAGCGGTAGAGCGCTCGCTTTGCATGCGAGAAGTCCAGGGTTCAAACCCCTGTTCCTCCAAAGTTTTTGCATTTTCTCGAAAATTCTTATCTTTTCACGGATTCTGAAATGGATTCTAATGTTTTAAAGATCTGGGTTAGCTATCCAGAAGAGGACAGGACATTGACTAGAGCCTAGTTAGCTATCCAGAAGAGGACAGGACATTGATTAGAGCCTAGTTAGCTATCCAGAAGAGGACAGGACATGACTAGAGCCTAGTTAGCTATCCAGGAGAGGACAGGACATGACTAGAGCCTAGTTAGCTATCCAGGAGAGGACAGGACATTGACTAGAACCTAGTTAGCTATCCAGGAGAGGACAGGACATGACTAGAACCTAGTTAGCTATCCAGGAGAGGACAGGACATGACTAGAGCCTAGTTAGGGAGGTAGGGCTAGATTCATGCAAGGATCAGAATCTAAGTTTCTCCGACAAGAGTTCTTATTCCTATGCATCCACTTTCAATTCTTATTCAATTCAGCCATTCTCTTCAGCCGATTCTGAACGATGTCTTTGGTTAATTATCCTGGAATTGATCTGGTTTTTGATCAAATGATCACCAGCTTTTTCCGTGATGCAAACGATTTTCATCGAGCGACTTTCTGGGTTGAGAAAAGGAGGATTGATTTTGGAGCTGATGAGGTATTTTTGAGTACTTTTTTACTTTATAAAACCCTTCAAAAGAAAAAGATCTAGATTTCACAAAGCGATGATGGATTCAAAATTACCGTTGATGTCTCTTCTTTTCATCCGAATGAACTTAAATTGATTCTTGAAAAGAATGAGCTAACAATTTTTGGTTTGTTTAATATTAAAAGATTTAGAAAAGATTTTAAGAGATAAATTTAGAATTCAAGGCTAATTTGGCATCCAGATTAAGCCAAGGTCTCTGCCAAAGGGAGAGTTAGACGTTAGACGTTAGACGGAGAGTTTTGGAGAGTTTGACGAATTAAACTTAAACTATTACAAGCCAAGAAGACCAGGAAATTCAATGGATTTTGGAAAATTTCATCTATTATCTAGGGCATCACAGCGAAAAATCGGAACGCGGTGAGATGAGTCGCGACTTTTCCAAACGCTATCTTTTACCAGAGGATATTGATGCTGGGCATTTTGTTCAAGTGTAAACAAAACTCTTCTGGTGCACGAAGGAGTTCGCTAAGAAAGCGCCGCTAGAATGGCTAGTATTACTGTACTTATCTAGCAAAGTTTGCATTCTGGAAGGCACACTATCTAATGAATAAGTTTTAGGAGCACTTTCCTCTCGGGAAAACACACCCTTTCTAGTGCACGATCGAGTTCTATAAGAAAACACTGCTATTAAGACTACTTTTACTATACTTATCTAACAAAGTTTGCATTCTGGAACGCACACTATCTAATAAATCAATTTCAAGCATACTTTGCTATTAAGAATCATTATCTTTTGGGATTTTATGAGAGTTAGAGTTAAACTCAAACTATTACAAGTCAAGAAGGCCAGAAATACAGAATCTTTTGGAAAAATAAAGATAAAGATGTTTAAAGATCAAAATTTCTTAAATAATGTCAAATTTGATCTATTATCTAGGGCATCACAGCGAAAAATCGGAACGCGGTGAGATGAGTCGCGACTTTTCCAAACGCTACCTTTTACCAGAGGATATTGATGCTGAAAAGCTGAAATCAAATCTCTCTTCAAATGGGATTTTAAAGTAAGTTTGAGAAATGATTAATTTAAACCAAATAAAACCGCCATGAGGGCCATAAGGACCATAAGGGCCATAGGGCCATAGGGCCATAGGGCCATAGGGCCATAGGGCCATAGGGCCATAGGGCCATAGGGCCATCGAGGTCACCGATTGTCATAAAGTGATTGCAAGCGGATTTGGCCATGATTTGATTGGCAATCAACATTTAACGATAAAAGATTTTGGCGGTTTTATTCGGTTCAATAAAGAAAGTCAAGGAATCAAGTCAATTTTGGAGATGGAAGAAAGAAAATTCCCTTTATCAGCTAATTTTTAGGATCGAGGCACCGAAGAAGAGCCGAGTTTTATCAACAAGGAACATTCCCATTGAGTACCGCTAATTGAGGAGAATTTAGATGGATTTAGATGAATGTTGATGTAGATATTGGAGAGATTTCATTGTAGATTGGTTATAGATACTTTAAAGCATTGTAGATTGATTGCAGATTGACCATAGATCCTCTAAAACATTTTAGATTGATTATAGGTCCTTTAAAGCATTGTAGATTGATTATAGATTGATTATAGACACTTTAAAAGATTGTAGATTGGTTATAGACCCTCTAAAACATTATAGATATATTGTAGCTCTTTACTATCGACTTTCCTAGTTCGACTTATGATTTTTATTGAATTTTTTTGGTTAAAACAAGTTTCTTCTTTTAGCTGCAAACAAACAATAAATGTAAATAAAGTCTGAAAATTTCATTTTACTAAATTTCTAAACACAAACAAAGGTCAGATTACGGTAGTTTTCTAAAAAACATCTATTCCAGAAAGCTACCGTAATCGAAAACGCTAATTTCTATCCGATCGCCCCAATTTTGGTTCCATTAAGGCTTGTGCATTCCAGATTGGACTAATTGAATGGAAACTGGCTAGTTTCTGTGAGGCTTTTTCTAAAACACACCTATTCCAGAAATCCGCCGTAACCGATACTGCCAGTTTCTATCAGATCATCCCAATTTCAATGCCATTAGGCCTTGTGCATTCCAGATTGGACTAATTGAATGAAAAGTAGCAGCCAGATTACGGTAGTCTTCTAAAACACACCTATTCCAGAAAGCTACCGTAACCGATACTGCCAGTTTCTATCAGATCATCCCAATTTCAATGCCATTAGGTCTTGTGCATTCCAGATTGGACTAATCGAGTGAAAACTAGCAGCCAGATTACGATAGTTTTCTAAAAAACACCTATTCCAGAAATCCGCCGTAACCGATACTGCCAGTTTCTATCAGATCATCCCAATTTCAATGCCATTAGGCCTTGTGCATTCCAGATTGGACTAATCGAGTGAAAACTAGCAGCCAGATTACGATAGTTTTCTAAAAAACACCTATTCCAGAAAGCTACCGTAACCGATACTGCCAGTTTCTATCAGATCAACCCAATTTTGGTTTCATTAACCCTTGTGCATTCCAGATTGACCTAATCGAATAAAAAAAATGTCAGTTTGATTACGGGAATTGTTTGAAAAAGGTGTGCGGTGTTGAAATCTATCTGAATCCGTCTGAAATACAGTAGGATTACGGTAGCTTAGACTCAGGCGTAGTTTTAGGTCTAGGTTAAGTTAAAAAATAAAAAAGAAAGCTCTAATAGCTGGGGATCTCGATTTTTCTTTACTAGAAAGGCTTGGAATTGGTGGAATTGCTGAAACCAGTTGCATTTACAAAGAAAAAGTAAGGAAATGGGGAAAGTGAATAGCGGAATCATCTCGAATAAAGAATGAAAAAGGGGAAAAACGAATAAGAATGGTAAAAAGAATCATACAATCTACAAGAATTGCTCAAAAAAGAAACTCGTGGCGGGCAATTTTCTTCGTTTACAACACTTTCAACTCTAGCCACTCAAATTTCTTCTTTTCTCAAAATCTAAACGTTAAAAAGTTTAAAAATGGGTTTAGAAATGGATTCTTTTTGTTTTCTATTTGTTTTCTTGTTTCTATTTTTAAATTTAATTCGATCTTTCATCTATTTTAACCTCTTAAACATAGATTTTCTAAAAAATCAATAGAAAAATTTTTACTGAGCCCGGGAGATGTTAGGGTTTACCCCCTGGGACCTGCGCTTTACCAGCTGCTTATTATCATTCCAACCGATGCCACACCATGGGATTTTACCGAGTCTTGTTCTGACTATGGCGCACTGAGAATATCCGCTGACATGACATGACTCGCCAGTTTCTATCCGATTGCCCCAATTTCAATGCCATTAAGCCTCGTGCATTCCAGATTGGACTAATTGAATGAAAAACTGACTGGTTTATATGAGACTTCTGCTAAAACACACCTATTCCAGAAAACTACCGTAACCGACATCGCCAGTTTCTATCCGATCGCCCCAATTTCAATGCCATTAAGCCTCGTGCATTCCAGATTGAGCTAATCGAGTGAGCATGTAGCCTTCGCTCAATTGGTAGAGCCTTCATCTGGCTCCCTCCATCTGGAAGGCTAGAGGCACCTAGTAGGCCACTTGTTGGAGTCCCATCTTGGCTAATCGAGAACATGTAGCCTTAGCTCAATTGGTAGAGCCTTCATCTGGCTCCCTCCATCTGGAAGGCTAGAGGCACCTAGTAGGCCACTTGTTGGAGTCCCGACTTGACTAAAGGCAAAAAGCTTCTCAGAAAAGCATGTTGACTTAGCTCAATTGGTAGAGCGTTCGTCTGGAAGATGGGAGGCACCTAGTAGGTCACTTCTTGTCCCAACCCATCTTGGCGAATCGAAAACAGGTCAGCTTAGCTCAATTGGTTCGTCTGGAAAGCGGGAGCCACCGTTAGATCATTGGTTCGAATCCCATCTTAGATAAGGGCAAAGAGTCCCCCAGGAAAACATATCAGCTTAGCTCAATTGGTAGAGCTCAATTGGTAGAGCTCAATTGGTAGAGCTCAATTGGTAGAGCTCAATTGGTAGAGCTCAATTGGTAGAGCTCAATTGGTAGAGCTCAATTGGTAGAGCGTTCATCTGGAAGACGGGAGCCACCGTTAGATCACTGATTTGAATCGCGGCTTGGCTCAGGGTCGGCTCGGCTCGGCTCGGCTTTCCATTTCCCTTTTTTCTTTTTATTTATTTCCAATATGAATCTCTATCAAAGCTCCCTAAAAATGAATAAAAAGATGAATTGAATTGAATTGAATTGAATCGAATCAGATGATCATCAGGTTTGCCACATTAGGCTTAGCCTCTGGCTCTTTTCTCTATTACTCTCTATTCCCCGCAAAAGATTTTGTCAAGAGTTCAATCGAAAACTATGCCGTCAAAAAGAGAAATGAGCGCAAAAAGAACGGGTAATGGATTCAAAAAAAAAGTCAAGAACTGAAGAGCTAAAGAAAAATTGACTAACCATTCGTTTCTCTTTTCTTTTCCTTTTTTCATTTCACTTTCATTCATTTTCTCTTTTTTGTGAATAGCTTTTTGAGAGAAGAGAAAAGGAGAAATGGATTGTTTTTGGGGAAATGAATCTTTTTTCGAAAGTTTTGAGTGCAATTTCAGCTTGTAAACGCATCACTTTTGGCAAACGAAACAACAGGAAATGATTCGATCGAAACCTGATTCTCTGGGCAAGAGTTTTATGTGCTATCCACTGGGCCACGGCGAGCCCCCTTTGACCTTGGAGAAAACATCTTTTAAAGCCCTTTAAAGTCCCTCTAAAGTCCCTTTAGTCCCTTTAAAGCCCGCTAGTCCTTTTTGATTGAAGTTTTGAGTTAACTCCCTCTGAAGTCGGTCGAATCAGGTGCGTTGTGGTGTAATGGTTAGCACGGTTGCCCAGTAAGCGAAAGGTCGGGGGTTCGGGCCCGGGTGGCGAAAAAGTTTTTGATCTGCTCTAGTTCTAACTGGCGATCACGAGGGAGTTCACTTTTTTAAGCCTGGAAATTTGTTTGAGAGATTTTGATTTCAGATTCGGATTCCTCAAATTCGATTTTATAAAGTGCATGCTGGGAGACGAGTTTGTTGAGGCATAGCTTACAAAGAAAAGCTTGCAGAGAAGAGCTTGCAAAGAAAAGCTAACAAATAAAAGCTTACAAAGAAGAGCTTGCAAAGAAGAGCTTAAAAAGAGAAGCTTACAAAGAGATAATTGCCAAGGAAAGCTTACAAATCGAAACTTACAAATAAAAGCTCGCAAAGCAAAGCTCGCAAAGGAAAGCTTACCTTGATTTCAATCCTTTTTCTAGTTCGACTGTAGAAACTAGATCGATAATCGATTACAAAACATTACTATAATCATTTTTGTATTCTTTGATAACTGTAGAACCTAGAAATTTAGAAGTTTAGAGCTTCTAGAACTTCTAGAACTTCTAGAACCTCAGCTATGAACCTTTAGAACCTTTAGAACCTCAGCTATGAACCTCTAGAACCTCTAGAACCTCTAGAACCTCTAGAACCTCTAGAACCTCAGCTATGAACCTCTAGAACCTCTAGAACCTCTAGAACCTCTAGAACCTCAGCTATGAACCTCTAGAACCTCTAGAACCTCTAGAACCTTTAGAACCTCAGCTATGAACCTCTAGAACCTCTAGAACCTTTAGAACCTCAGCTATGAACCTCTAGAACCTTTTAGAATACTTCCTAGAGCTTTTGTGTGACTTCCTTTATCAGCCGATCAATTGTGGAATCAAAAAAAGTGCTGATCAATCAGGTTCTCTTCAGATCCCACTGGCAAATCTCGCAACTTTTTATAATATGCAAAAAGTTGAGAGTGGGGAGTGGGGAAAAGAGAAATTGGGGAAAAGATCGAATCTCTCCCAAATTGTCTCTCATCAATCCGATGAAAGGAAAAAAAACAGAAAAATGCTGTCTAAATGTCGTCAGATTAAATTAAAACATTGATTTCTTCTTCATATTTCTTTTACATATCTTTATTTTCGATAAAGATTGTTTTGTTTACTTTGTTTTATCTCTTTTTATCAATTCAAACAAGCAATTCTAGGTATAGGATGAGATTTATTGGTTGGCGTCAATAATCGAACAGTTCTAGCTTTGTTTCTAGCTATTCTAGCTTGTTTTCTAGTTATTCTAACTATTCTAACTATTCTAACTACAAGCTACAAGCTATAGGATGAGATTTATTGCTTGATTTCATTAATCTAACAATTCTAGCTTGTTTTCTAGTTATTCTAGTTCTTCTAACCATTCTAATTCCAAGCTACAATCAATTCTAGCTACAAGATCTATTGCATGACGTCATCAATCACAATTCTAGCTAGCTTTCTAGTTATTCTAACTATTCTAACCATTCTAACCATTCTAACTATTAAATTGGCAACTTAAGAATGACGCGTTTATGTAACAAATCATTTATTTCAAAAAAACAAAAGCTTTCAGAGCTTTCAAAGAGAGACT